TTGTCCCTGTTCATCCAACATGTCTGTCCCTGTTCATCCAACACATCCGTCCATCTGTTTGTCCCTGTTCATCCAACATGTCTGTCCATCTGTTTGTCCCTGTTCATCCAACACGTCCGTCCATCTGTTTGTCCCTGTTCATCCAACAAGTCCGTCTGTCCGTGCTCCTGCAGTGTTTGTTGATGTGCCGTCATTTAAACTTTGCTTCTAAACAAGAGAACGACCTTTCCGCACTGACTCATCATTTCAGAGCTGGCTCACAGATCGAGATTCCTCCAGGATGTTCTGGTTTTCAAACACGACCCAGAGTTTAATTAAAAACTGGACCTTGAGGTCGACGCAGAAATAAAAGCTGACCATTAGTGGAGGCCACGGAGCAGGGACTGCAGAACACCTAAGATCTGACGTAACGGTCCCGTTTGATTCGTTCTGATCACATTCACGTCTGTTCTGTAAGTTATCACCTGCCGTCAAAAGCAGAAGAGTGATAGTGTTTTTGTTTTTCTGTGGAGTTAGCAAAATATCTTATCAGCCACTAAACAAATTTAAATGAAACGGGCAGAAAGTAATCACTGGATGTACGTGCACGACTGATCAGCTGTTCAAGATGTCCGCCACAGATAATTGACCCTTCCAACATAAAAAAAACCGACACAGATAAGTTAAAATGCACGTGGTGGTAGCTGAGGGTAATTCCCAACACACAGTTTGAGAGCTAATGAAGTGTAGAACGTGATTCACAAGGTTAGAAGCATCAGTTCTCATATGATGATTAAGTTTACTATGAACAGAAGATCGAGGGTCAATTCGCCTGAACCACGGAGCATGGGGGGGGGGGGGGGGGGAGTAAGTGTAGAACAGATTATAAAGGAAGGAGCGAACAATGTCCCAAAGACCCATCTCTGCCTGATGCCCTCAACAAGTTCTATGCACGTTTTGAAGACCCGAACAGACCACCCAGCACCAGACTCACCACCAGAAGAGGAGTTTCTCAGCGTGACCTCAGCAGAAGTGAGGACTACCTTCAGGAGGATTAATCCTCACAAAGCAACCGGCCCAGGCAACATCCTGGGAAGGTGCTGAGAGAATGTGCTGATCAGCTCTGCGAGGTGCTGGCAGACATCTTTATCCTCCCTCACCCTGGCAACAGTTCCCACCAGCCTGAAGACTGCCACCATCATCCCAGTCCCAAAGAGCTCTACAGTGACTGGTCTGAATGACTGTCGGCCAGTGGCCCTCACCCCGATAGTCGCCAAATGCTTCGAAAAACTGGTCATGACTCACATCAAAACAACCATCAACATCAACGAGGACCTTCATCAGTACGCATACCGTGAGAACCGATCAACAGAGGATGCAATCTCCTCTGTGGTCCACACTGCGCTCAACCACCTGGAGCAGAAAAACTCCTACGTCCATATGCTCTTTGTGGACTTCACATCCGCCTTCAACACCATGATCCCCCAAACCCTGATGGACAAACTATCCACACTAGGACTAAGCCCCTCCATTTGCAACTGGGTACTAGACTTTTTAACAAACAGACCACAGTTGGTGAGGATCCACAACTTCTCCTCCTCCACCATAACCCTCAGCACTGGCTCTCCTCAGGGATGTGTGTTGAGCCCCCTCCTGTTCACTCTGCTCACGTATGACTGTGCACCTACCCATCCAGGCTGTCACATTGTAAAGTTTGCAGATGATACAGCGGTGGTGGGATGCATCACAAACAATGATGAGTCCAGCTACAGGCAGGAGGTGGAACACCTCACCAAACCGGTGTTTGTTGGAAGTAACTGGGACCCTGACTACAAAATGTTGTTCCGTCACATGTACATGTGGTGGAACAACAAATCATGAAACTCTGACTTTAAACTGTGACATGAAAAGTTGCAGGCGATATGCATTCCTTATGGTAAACTCAGGCCTGTGTCCGAGTTCAGTTCAGAAGGGATTTTAATTTGATTCTGAGCAGGAAGTCTTCGTTGGGAGTTATAACTTAATGCAGTGACTTTAAATCGTAATTGGACTGCAACTTACCAGCCGGCCATGCTGCTCAAAGCGCTTCACAGCCGAACCTCATCCATCCACACAGTCATACAGCAAAGATCTGAACAAATCATTCTACAGACAGTAATCAGAGTTGAAGGTCCTCTGTGGGGCACATCGGAGGCAGCGGGGGTTCAGTTTGTCCAGGGATACTTCCGCAGGCTGCATACTGATGGAATCAAACCTCCAACTCTCAGGACGCTGCTCTATCCACTGATCCACAGATGTCCATTTCACATCTAGTTTAATTGTTTAATGTCAATCTGATTAGCAGTTTACACTTAAAACTCATCAGAGGTTAAAATGTGTCACAGCGATCAACTAAACTCCAGCTGACTTCCATAAAAACATGTAGGTGAAATCACGAGAGCTGGACAGACACTGTGAAGGTTTTGTTTAAGGGAAGGTAGGAAAATAAAACCGTCCGTGCTAATAATAAGAACTGAAATATTGACGTTACCTCAGGTAGTAAAGTAGATAAACACCTTGGCCTCACCTCGTCTCTAAGTGCAGAGTACCGCTCAGATCTGGATCTGATCCTCTGGTTTCAGAGGAAACTGTGACTGGATTACAGCCACGAACATCAATCAGATGTTGAATCCACTTAAATTCAGTTCATGCTGAGCGAGTTCAGAGCGGCTGGGAACAGGATTTTCATTTGGCATCGATGGTTTTGAGTCCTACCTGCTCTTTGAGTTTGTAGAATCCTGTCGTACGCGCCCTCACAGTCCTCCAGCAGGGTCTTGCTGGTCTGGATCACCTGAAACGTAACGGACAACGTCAATATTTCGTGTTGGTTCCTAAAATCAGCAGAAGTTCCACAATCAAACAGGAAGCGGAGTCTGGTGTTGTGTTTCGTCTCCAGGGAGGGCTGGAAAAGACGCCGTTATTACAGGGATGGTTGTGGGCGAGGTCACTAAATTGTCATTTTGAAAACCAAAATTAGAGAAAATCAACCGGAAGTAATTGTGGTTTTTATTAGAGGTTGTGTTTTCCTCTTGCGGTGACTAAGTCTCGTTTTAAGGGGAAAGTAAAAAAAAAAAAGGGGGGGGGGGGGGGCAGTCCTTCCACTTGGCTTTAAATGAAAGTGCTGATTATCAGGGTCATCTGATGAAAACGTAAACACGTCGCTCTGCAGCAGATAATTAGCACGTTGTGACGGTGCAGCTGTGAAAGATGCCGAGTTTAGCTCCTCTGCTCTGATCGAGAGCACCAACTCTGCTGATCCGAAGACCGCCAGAACTCTCAGGATGATCCATTTACATTTTAAACATCTTCCAAACGCACAAACTGCAGAACACATGTCCTAAACCAGAGGCTCTGGAGCCACACGAGGCTCTTAGTTTTTAGTGGTTTACCTTGTTTTATATGGCATCTCGATTTGACTCCGTTTAGAACTTATTTTATTTGATTTTAACTGCTTTTGTTGAATTGTTGTTGTCTGTACTCCGTTTAAATCAAATGAGTCCTCGTGACTCAATAAAACCAACCTGTATAAATAAAGGTTGAATGATTTCTCTGCAGTGCTTCTTTGTATCTTTGACCAAAAACTCATTTAATCTATTTTCGTAATAAAAGAAAAAACGGGTTTTAGCATTTTCCCTGTTGAATTTTAACAAATATGTGAAAGATACTAATACTAGGAGTGAAATATTGATCAGATAGCTTGTTAGTCATGTCATTAACCCAACTTCCAGACATCAACTTTTCTCAGATCCACTAGAAAAGTAAAAAAATTTCGATTAAGTTGCTGAGAAGAAAACGAAGTCCATTTTTGCAAACGTCACAACTTAAGTCTTTAAACGAGCAGTACACAGATGTCTCCTGTCGCTGAGGGAATAATGAAAAACAAATGTTTGTAGTTTTTGAGATGAGTGTTTTTCTGGAATGGAATTAAAATGGAAAAACAAGTACCGCATTTTTTGCCATAAAAGTTGCACCTTTTTGCATAAATTTGCAAATGCTGTTACTTATGCAGCGAAGCGACTAATATAAGTTTTTTCCATATTTAAAATCCAATTTTTGGCTGAGAGCTGACGATTTCATTCATTCTGACATGGAAAATATTGAACACTACCATTTTCAGCCACTAGAGGGCCCTCGAGCAGTATGGCAAGCCAAGTGTCTCATTAATAGGTAACAGTGGCTATTAATGAGCCACTTGGCTTGCCATACAGTGCCATCTTCGTCTCACTCTGGAACTCCTGGAGCAAACGTCAAATCAGCTTCATTTCGCCGCCCAGAGGAAATAAAGCTGATTTGACTATGAAAGTGAATATATTAAATAAAAGTTCAACTGAGACACACCTTTACTATAATGTTGAGCAAACAAATAATTGTTTTTAAGTGTTGTTAAATTCTTGTTAAAGTCCTCCCTCATGAGCAGTGAGGCCTACGCTGTATACGCCGCAGCAACTGAAGTTTATTTCCACTTTATTAGACATTTTTGGACTGATGCGACATGCCGCCGTACACGTTGCACTGCTGCAAGTACAGTAAACTTTAATGTTGTGTGTGCAAGATATTCAAGTGGGTAGGAGTTACACTGTGGAGAAGAACAGAGGAAGGTTCTTTGTTTGTCTGAGGCAGCACAGAGTGATGGATCTTGGCGAGTGGAGGGAGCCATTCTATACAGATCAGACAGTGATGGAGGCAGGGGGTGGCCAGTGGTGGCCTTGGCCACCATCGATTAATCTTTGGCCACCCCAATCATTTGAGGAATTTATAATCTTAAGCAATATAAAAACTAGAATGCACAGTTTCTTTAAATGATAGGGTTGTTTAAGAGTAATGGGCTGTACTTATCTAGCGCTTTTTTAATACTCAAGAAAGTGCTTACATATATACAGTATATGGTGGCAGCCATCTTGAATTTGGACCTGGCAACCCAAGTTTTGAAAGGAATTTTTCTCCTGTCTATTTGCAGCCACACACCAAAATGAAAGTTGATGCTGCAGTTATTTTGTAAGTTATTGTGCTCATAACATTCACAGACTGACTGTATTTATTATTCTCCCTTTTTGCTCCGCGACGGGACAAATACTGAAAAAAAAAAAGATTTAAGTCAATTTAATAACAAAAATTAGAAATAAAGGCTTCAATCACAGTTTTAGCACATTTTGTGTCCTTTTTTTGACAGAGGGAACAGATTTTCAGACTCTTGTCTTAAAGCGAGGATCAAAACTGAGACGGTTGTTTCGAACACTGAATTAACGAGCTGCTCCAGGAAACCGTCTGGATCCTTCTCCGGTCGTGATCACCTTCTGTCAGATGGTTTTTAGAGTCGTGTTGTCCAGTTTATGTTAGTTTGCAGTGACATCTGTGTTTGCGGCCTTTTGAGATTGTAAAACTGAAACAAATGAGTAAAATAAAAAAAAACCTACACAAATATTTTGATTCGAGGGTTTGATTCGGTTTAGTGCTGCTCAGTGGTCCCAGTTTCACAAGTTTCATCTTTGCTTCGTAAGAGAACCAGCATGTCTCATCAAGCTTAAACTGCATAGTTTGTCTTCTGCAGCAGGATGTGTCACAACGCTGCTGCCTCGGCCCAAACACCCAAACAGGACTCTGGAAGAACAACAACTTCTTTCTCTCACTACTTTGAGAACAACGTTAAGGACGCAACGCAGGGCGTTTGAGTTTTAGCCAGATAAATTTAAAACCTTTAAAAGCGTTAAAATTTAAGACCCACATGAATTAAAAATAAACTGATTGTAAATTTCATTTGAAGTATCAAACTTTAGTGTCTTCCATTCAAATTCAAACCAAGCCAGCTTCAAGTGTAGAGCAGCCAGTTTCTTCTACAGGTAAGGATGAAAAAAGTCCCGACAGAACTGCTGCATGATGGGACTTGTAGTTTTGTTACAGCCAACTTATGAAATCCTTTGATCGAATGTAAAAAGTTCAACCAATAAATGAATGAACACACGTTTAGGATGTAACTGAATGTGTTTTAGGACAAAACAGAACGTCTGGACATATTTAGGACTTTTTCGGGGCTAAAAATGAGTTTATTACGTTTGAGAGTTTTTATGACAAAGACTCAGCAGAAACCCTGAACAAAGAACTGGTGTAAAGACTGAATTTGTCTGTAAGTGGAAGCAGTTTAAAAGCTGCGTGCAGCAGGAACAAGGTGCAGTGATAAATAAAATAAAACGCAGCATTGCTCGGTAGAGCCTCACGGCACTGATCCAAGTCTAGGTCCAACTCAAAATAATGTTTTATCCTAGCCTTTAAAGTAAACGATTGTTGGCAACAAGGCGTAAAGGTCCGTTTAAACCTCTGATCGCAGTAAGTAAAGCAGAAAAACAACAAAGGTGTTGCTTCGTGAGCGACCTGCTCGTCAGGACTGAAGCTGCTCCACCGGAGAGGAGGAGGTCCGGGGAGACGATATGAAAAATGTAAACTTGTTCATTCCATCTGACAAACTGGGTGTAAATTAAATACCGCTCTTCAAACGCATGTTCACCCGTGACTGCAAACAGTCCACAACACATTTTAACGTTTATTTCTTAATTTGTTACAGTAAAGAGAAGTTTTGTTGCACAAAGCACCTCCGAGTTAAGACTTGATCTCTTCCTAGCCGAGGGTGGAGCACAGAATTTCTTAAGATGTCTTGAGCTGAGTAAGGTGCTGCGAGCGTCAAACATTAATTTGGTCAAATATAAATGCAAGAAGAAAACTTTACACACCTTTTGGGGTAAATCTATCGGACAAGATTTAAAGGATGATCTGAGCAGTTAAGTTTATTTGAAGGAAACCTCGCTTCCGGCTGCGCTCCGGATGTTGTGCAACGAGCCCCACCTGTCCTCAGCCAACCAAAGTCGTATTCGGGCCGGGTTAGTAGTTGCTGCGTTTGGGGCAGACAGTTGCTCAGACCTGATAAACGGATCGCCGTGCGAGTCTGCGAGCAGTAATGAGTAAGTGCTTGTAGTGGGTAATGTCACGCTGCAGCTGCAGAACTAAAAGCCGTCTTGCATGCTGTGATTACCTTCATGATGGGTGAAGAAACTGCCGTCTCGGTGGCAGACAAATGGGCAGACGGTGCCCGATTTGTACACTAAAAACTACCTCCCTAAGTGCTATGGTTACGTCCATTATTGTAATTACTTGCGTGTAGCCAAGACTCAAATACTCCTATTCCTGGTTGATGTTCGTTTAATGATACAACTCTGCATGTATGAAGTACAGTGGTTCATTATTTTCAAGTAGCACTGGAGAAAGTTTGGGTGGGTTATTGTCAACTAAGAAAATGATTATAGGAGTTTTAAAATCCACTTCTGACACAGATCGTCCTACCCATATATTTCAAGTGACACTTTATTTCCAATTACTTTATAAAGCCACTAAGAAAAAATGTCAACATATTCTTCCATCAAGTATCGCACACCTTCACTACACCAACGTGTTCGCAGTTGTGATTTCACCTCTTGCAAACAGAAGCTACAGTTTATTTGTTGGAGTTCAGCTGCTGTTATTTCTGCTGGAGGCACGGTTGTGTGGTTTTCAGCCTCTAAACAAAGAAACCTTAAGATGATAATATTTTACTGGTGGTGCAGACCGCAATCATTCCCAATAATTTATTATATTGTCTAACATCAAATGCTAAAAATCCACCATAGCCAATCAGTAGGGACACAAGTACTTTGTGCACCGTAGCAGAACATTATTATTAACCTTTATTTAACCAGGCAAATCCCATTTTGATCACAGAACTCATTTGCAAGGGAGGCCTGGACCTGAAGCAGCCGAACATGCATGTTTTTGGTCTGTGGGAGGAAACCGGAGTGCCCGGAGAAATGGACTCAAAGATACTAGATTGCCACCATTAATACATGAACACGTTAAAATCTCAGACAGATCATCTTTTAATCAGCACATCGCTGTTCCAGTTTTCCTGTCTGGAAAACGTGAAAGCCATTTTCCAAGTTTTTCTCGAGTTCCAGAGTTTCTGGGAACCTGTAGCCTGTTTCTCTGCGCAGTCAAAAAAAAGTTACGTATAAATGCTCGGTCAGCCATTTAGCACCTGTAAGAGTTGGATGCCACTCAAACTGAGAATATAGTGATTTTGTTCCTGCACTGGTGGCACTCAGGAGCCTTCTGGTGGAGTGGTACAAGTTAAACAAGAAGCTAATTAACCATCATAACTGATGGGAGCTCAACCAGAGCGGGTCAAAGAGATGAGTGCTCCATGAAGATTACAACCTAGGGTCCAAATGTACGAGTGAAAACAAAAAGGCCAGTGAAGAACGTTTTTAAAACGCCTGTGGAAACTGAAGGGGTCGATGGGTAACCCATGTTCTAGTGACTACTTCAGCAGGACCGAAGGTGCGAATCAGAATCAGTGAGGAATACAGATTCAGCTTCTCTCAAAATTGTATGAATTTGTTGGGGGAGCAGACGAAAAGACGAGACTGCGGTGTGTGGTCCTGTTTTCAACAACAAAAGCATGAAATCCTCACATTTTAAACCTCACCGGTTTCTGCTTATTCGCTGGGTTTGTTGAAGGGTTAAGGTTACAGAAGCGGGTTTGGACGTTAGGTTAGAGTTGAGATGTTCGAGTAGGTCGGTCAGCTTGCTTGTTTGTCAGATACACACAGCGTGAGGTTAAAAACCTGTGGTGCAAGCTGGCTTTTAAAGTCTAATGATACTCGAAGAGTCTAGTATTTTCTGAGGTGTACTCATTATGAAAGGTCTGAGAACCGCTGAGCTAACCAGATGCAATTTTAAAAAAAAAGGCAAAACTGCCAAAATACACGTAGTCAGAATCAGGTCTGCCTCTCTAGTTTATTATTTTACATCTTTAAAAACCACCAACAGAAAACACAAATAACTGTTTTTTAAAATGTGTTAAACCACGTTTGGTTTTGATGCCTCGTTTCTGTTTCTATTCATACGAGTCCAGAGAACATGGTGTGTTGGCAGTAATGATTTTGCTGTGGAATAAACTTAGTGGCATGTTGCATAACGTGAACATTGATTTTTATTACCCAACAGAGATCCGGCCCTCTTACCCAACCATCCCTGCATGTCACCGTTATAATAAGTGAAGTCAAGGTATTGATCTCATCGGAGTCAAAGCTCGTTTTCTGGGGTGAATCGATCTATTGAGTGGAAAAAAAAGACACATGAACAAACAATCACAATGAGAGATTGATTTTACTGCTGCAGCCTCTCTGAGGTCAGCGGACCAGATGCTCTTCATGGTTCCAGGGACGAGATGTAAACTCTGAGCTAATGGAGCAGGTTCTACATTTTTATGGTTTGCCACGTTCCACTCCTTTTCTACCACTCTGCTTCTAATCCCCTTTTAAAAACACATTCGTACTTTGACCCAGTGTGAGATGACTTAGTTTATTGTGCTTCTTTTTAGTTATCCGTTTGTTTTAATCGTTTATTTCTGTAGACTTACGTAATTTTCCTTTGTGTTTGTTGTACAGTATTTGGTCGGTCTTGTTGTTTTTAAAGTTCTTTAGAAATATGCCTGCGTAAAAAGAAAAAACAACAGAGGAAAACCCCCCTCCACCCCCAACCCCTCAAAAAAACCTTAATATCACTACTCACCATCTCGTAGGTGCAGGTGACCTTCTTCAGGAACTCTGGTAGCACGCCCTGAGGCTCCAAGTTAGGGTATTGATCACTGAGGTTAAAGACCATTAGGGGGCTGTTGTCTGGTCCTGTCAGCCGAGGGGAAAGAGCCAAGATGCACTGCTTCAGGTTAGCCACCGCTGAAAGGCCGCATAGCTCTTTAAAGGACACGATGGCATTCTGCAGAGAGAGGCACAGACACGCTCACACGACAAGCAAAACATAAAGCACAACCACAAACGGCAACAGAAATGTTTTATTCTCGCTACCTGAAAGGGTCAGTGAGCAGCTCAAACATGTAACTAGACCTCCAGAGATCAGCTCTCTCTCTCACAGGAAGTGGCTGGAAGCCATCTTTGCCTGTGAGAACTTTCATTTTGGCACTTGTTGGCTGCTCCGTCTATTTGAACTGACACAAGCACCAAGTGGAAATGAAACATACACCCACAAATCCTAAACTTCCTGTGGAAGGACAAATTTAAACCCAACGTAAACAACCGTAGGGACAGACTGTGACTGTGCGATCACAATTTGTTATAGTCTCAAGGCTGCTAGCGTGTTCTCTCACAAAGGCTGCGATATAAAAAGGAGTCCTAAAATAACGTCTAATAAAAGGCCTCAAGAAACACGATGTGACACCAACCGGTGAGGTATGAGCTACGGTTTGGTTTTTCTCGTACAGTATGTGAACACTCCTTAAATATTTCACATATGACATGTGATTTGACCTTTTCCAATTTACCCATCAAAAGAGAGGATATCTTATTGTTTGTCAAAGTATCTATTTTAACTATTTAAAATTAAACGAGTCAAGGTTAATGACCAGTTTTCTACAAGGAATGTGGATCAAGATGTGTGTCGTAGTCTTTTCTGCTTTGTTGCACAATGTTGGTGTGAAAACTGACAAAAGAGAAGACCGACTCCTGAACAAAGGACTGATTTGTTGATTTAAGTTCAGCAAATCTTCACAAACAGAACTCGGTCTTTAACGGGTTTTGGAGACAACTACCTACGTTCAGAAGATAAAAATTTCCAATACTGAAAAATTGGTCAACTATGTGTTGGCTGCAGCCATGAAAGACAAGTGATGTAATTGGTTGTCTGTCTGCCTGTTAGCAAAACATCTTGTGAACTACTGAAAGCATGTAAATGAAACCGTCAACCAGTTCAAGATGAGCACCACAGATCATGGCAAACACAAAAGAACGACTCCGTCAGTTGTACAGATACTGAGCCGTGGGTTCCAAACTGCTCACATCTTTGTCAGATAAGTAAACAACTGATCTGTATGAGCCACAGAACGTTTGGCAGCGTCAATGACTCATGCGACCCGAGTGATTTTATAAGTGCCAGAGTGCCTAACTAGACATAAATGTCCTAGACACCCCATTTATATCTCGTCAGAACTGAAGTAGCCTTTAAAAAAAATATGAAACATCTAGAAGACGTTTACTTGTATTCAAGATTACGGTGCTAGTAATGCCTACCAGTGTCAAAAACAAAAATAAAACATGTCTTGAGAAACTGAGCATTAACTTGATCACAGTTTCGGGGGGAAAGTGAAGTACGCAGGCCACTCCCTGAATATTCTGCACTTTATCGGACGAGTTGGAAGCAACCGTCGCTGATCAATGTCGATAAGAACAAATGTTATTGTTTAAGTATATTAAAAAAGATTAACAGTTGGTAATTGTTATCTTTGAAGCTATATATTTTACAAAAGTAGCCTATAAAATCTCATGAATACACCATTTCACTTTACAGTCTACCTATCTGTAATACTCTACGTAACACAAACATGCTGCAGAGCGCAGGCAGTTCTCTAAATCCTACAAAACACCAAGTGACCTTTTAGTTTTACGTTGAGTTAGAAAAAAATAAGATAAACGATCTGTTGAGGATGTCACTTTTTCTGCCAAAAACAACCCAATAAGTAAGAAAAGTAGGAAAAGGGTCAACTTCAAGGAAAAACTGGAATTGAGTTAATGTTCTGAATCAGTCTGAGGGTCAAGTGGAAGTGTTCAAGTTTTCACTTTTATATCTGTAACATCTGTATTCTTGACATTACTGATCCTATCTGAGCCCAAGAGAACAACAGTAGGTCAAATAACCATTCACATGTGAAGTAGGTAAGTGTCTTACCTGCATGTTTTCTCTGAGGTCAGTTGCTTCCCTCAGTGGCAGCAGGGCTGTTTTAAAGACATCGTCAACAGCCTTAATCTGTAGCGGTCTCATGCTGGCGTACTCTCTACTTTTTTTGCCTTTTCGTACAGACAGTCCTCTTTTGTGTGGTTTCCCACCTCCTCTTCGATTGGTTATAGCTACATGGACAAACAACAAAGTGTGTGGCAGAACTTCTCCCGTCAGAGATTGCAGCGGTACGTGACGGAAACCTGGCTGCAGACACTCAAAGGGGATTGTGTACTGGCCAATAAACTCGTCGCCAATGTAGTCGTCATCTAGTACCACAAAACGCACCATTGCAAGCTCTGGGAGGTTTATCTGAAACTCAAAGCTCTCGTCAAACAGGGGATTGTCCCCATTTTGGTGGACTGTTTTAGTCCTTTGTTCAGCGCAGTCGGCAGGGATACCGTGTATTTCCACGTACACGTAGGGGTCCAGTACGTCTCCTTTGGCACCTGAGCCTTTGGGTTTTGGGAAATTTTGCCCACTAATTATTTTGACATGTAAGAGCTGTGGCGAAACGCCAGGCACTGAATCTTTTGTGTTGGCACTGAAATACGAGACCTGCTCCCTCATGATGGCTGGACGAAGAACATAGCCACAGTTGCCATTCTGACGGAACCAGCCAATGTTTAAGTCCATCATCAGGCCGGGAGTTTGGTAGTTCATTGCTACAATCTGGCAACCGCACTTCCAGAAGTCTTGTGGATTCATGTTGCTAGAGTCAATCCGCATTGGACTTGGATAAACTCTTGCAAGGAACTTCTTGTTGTAGTTAACAAAGTCACCTGGGAAGTCACAGGCACAGCGAGTGGCAAATACTTCATTGAATGAGCAGAGCTCCCAGGGCTTCTGCTTATTGAAAGATGTTGGAAAGTCTCTGAAAACCACAGACTTGCACAATGTCACCAGATCAGAAAGGTCCTTAAGCAGCTGGAATTTTTTGTGTGTAGTGGTCTGCTGTTCTGTAGACTCCATGCTTATCTTTTGAGACATCTCTGCCCCTTCGTCCTCATCCGTCACCTCCCCTTCTGAGGCGGTGCAGGTTGTGTCCAGTTTCTTCCCCTTCAGGAGGATCTTTCCCTTCAGTTCAAAGGGGGAAGGGAGGTAACAGTCCTCAGGTTGGGGAGGATCCATGTGGATCTTGTCTCCAAGAATCTTCTTCAGGTGCTGAAACATGACTTTCTGCTGCTTTAGGGAGCAATGGTTTTCCAAACACAGTATCAGTGGAAACTCTGAGGCAACAAAAGCATACTTGTTGATGACGTCAATGACACTGCGAAACACTATCTGTGAGGTCATTGTGTGACCAGTATAAATAACAGGTTCATTATCAGAGCCGTCCCAGACATCCAGCTCTACACAACGACAACCCATCTTAAGGGCACGGATGTACCCCGTCACATCAGAGGGACCTCGAAACTGATCTTCTATCAGGTACGTGTTGTGGGATGCGTTGATGTAGTAGTGAGTCACAGGCTGGTTCATGTCTTGGCAAACTGATTTTTGTTCAGGGTCAAATATATGGCACTCTGGAGACATGAGATAGTTGGAGAACCCATCAAGAGAAAGCCAACCCTTGAGCTGACCCTCTTTGGATGGTTCATACTTCTGAATAACGTTTAAGCTGGTGTCTTCACTTACTTGTGCCATTCCCTGCTCCGCCTCCAGAAATATCATCAAGTCCTTACTATCAAGAAATTCTTTGTTACTGGAGAACTGAACAAAAAGGAAATAAATTTCTGGTCTGGTGCAAACATCATGAAAGACTTCAATAAACTCCTCTTTTGTCACATCAGAACCGATTTTGTCCGTAGCTTTGTGAAGCTCCTTGAACTTTAGTTCTATTTTTATATTTTTAAGTCCAGGGCTTAGCTTCTTAATAAGCTGCACAGCAGCACATATTGCTATTTGTTTGCTGTTGTTCACATCTTCCTCATCAAAGAGATCACTTAGCCAAGATGAGCGCAAGTTGTTCTGACTGCTCTCAATCATATTTAAAGTATGTTTCCCGTAGGAGATCAGGTACCTCAGCCCCGTTGTCCAAATGTTTGCCACATCTGCGGTGTTTGCCACCAAGTCCAGGGACTCATAATTATCCCCAAAGATGACAGAAAAAGCGCAGTCCTCCGAGATCTGATCGTAGGTGCCGTTGGTTCGAAAAGTGTCCGTATTCTTGCCAGTCCGAACTTCTTTGATGGATTTGACATCGATTTTTGCTTTTTCAGATTCCTTCTTTGTTGGTTCCCACCGTAAAGACTGCATGTCGGCATCGAGGAGAAAGTAGCGGTGATAAACACGTGAATTGGATCGGACTTTTTTCAACTCTGTCCCGTCAACCATTGCGCTGATGCAATCGCTGGCACGGCTGATCTTCTTCTCCGTGGGCATGCTGCTGAACGACACGGTCTTCTTTCTTTCTTTACGCTGTCTTCCATCCTGTAAAGAAACAAAGATACTGTATAAATAAGAATTATAATTAGGGTGAACAGTAATGTGGTCGTACCGTGACCCAAAAGGCCTAAAATAGCAACACCTCTCTGAGTGCTGCCATTAAATTATTACTTCTTTTTTATGCCTCCAAATCCTGCATGTTGTTACCTTCACAACTTTGTCTGGCTAAACAGGTCTCACTTGTAAAAGTCTTCGTGGCTCAATGTGATTTATCTGTATAAAGGTTGAACTGAATTTGATGCTGCCAATAAAAAATAAAACTCGCAAACAGCAACACAGATTAATTTAAATGTTTAGTTACATTTCTGTATGATGAATGCACTTCCTGTATAACTCCACGTAACGTTTCTGTTGTGAAATAAATTTATTTTCCTGGAGCAATGCCTACAAGGAGTATAATGCCCGTCAAGTGCCAAAATTAACTTTGATATATTAGACAATATAACCTATTATCTTAAATCTACTGCGTTAGTATCTCAACACATCATGATCCATATAACCATATATTCTGGTGTTTTTTACAGCTTAACAAAATTATTGTAAGAATACGGAGTCTGAGCTCATAGAATTGGTTCCCGTTTCTGTTTTTCAGCATGTTTTGTTCAAACTACTTATACTTTTGCTTTGTTTAGTCATTCAGCTCAATCTTACTACTGTTATTCTTTAAAATTTGTATTTTTGTTGGATGTAACTGGGACCCTATGTACATTGATGCGTTCCACCTCAGGTTAATCCCATTGAGCCTCGAGGACTCATTTACAAGAGAGACCTCTTTTCAAACAACGAATGACGACAACAATAGACAATCATAAAAGAGGCATACAGTTTTTTTTTATTTTTTTTTTTAACAAATTAAAATAAGATGGCAAAAAAAAAGTAGCAGAAACAGCTAGATTATAAGGCGAATGTAGAAAACTAAAAACAGGAACATGTCTGCATTGGTCCCTGCCAGGAGTCCAACAGATTCTTAAAGACACTTAGAGAGGTCAAAGGTCAAGAGCTTCAGATCTTTTTACAAGATATTCCAGGAAACAGGAGCGGAGTAGGAGAAGGTCCTTTTGTCTAGTTCAGTCCTCATTGAGGGAACACTGCAGGTAATGATGTCCTGAGAGCGCGCGCTGTAGCTGCACTCACACAGAGACATGTAGGAGGAGATGTATGAAGGCAGCAGACCAGGAAGTGATTTAAAGATGAAAATGTACCTGTGGGAGGTGTGATGTGAAGTACAAGAAAACCTCGAATCAAAACAGTTCATTCAGAGAACGGGTTTCGTTGACATTTGTTTTTTTTTTTTTTACAACTTTTATACTTTTTGTAAACATTTAACTTTACAAGAACACATTTAGATCTCTTCAATTCCTTCAAAAACAGATTAAATTTAAATAAAATTTGCTGCAGCATGCTTGCTCTGTTTTTTGTCTTGTGCTACTTTTAGCCGCCCGTCTTCCTCTACTTTTATTTATTAGCTAAGATTTTGAACCTTTTCACTTTTATCGCTTGCTCTGCATGTTTTAGTCTAAACAACTCAGTTTCATGTTCTTACACAGTCAGTGCTCAGTATTAACTCTGTATTTTCAAAGAACTGTAAATTACTCAAGTCAATCTATCAAAGCAAGAATGCGCCGCTATAAATTTATCATCACCGCCTTTCAGAATAGAGCAGCTGCCGTCAGAACAGAAGATAAAGAAGAGAAGGACACTAAAAGACTTCATGTTGGACGGTCTTCTAAATTAAAGATTGTTAAAGAACATGACGCCACAGAGATGGGACGTTACACCAGTAAAGAACCAGCAGAAGCAGAGATGACAGGTTATTAGAGAGAGCCTGTGATTCACAAAGATGTCCTCCTGACTGGAACCACTTCCACTTTCCCTCTACAGGCACACATTTGGATCAAATCTGCAGTGCCACCATAAAGTCATGTTTTGTAACAGAAAAACACTGTTCTGTACCCACTCTACCCATCTGGTCTCCGTCCCTCGTACATTACATTTTAAGGGCAACATTTTCTGCTCACATTACAATGCGTCTTTCCCCATAAGGCCGAGGACAAAACAAATGTGCCTGAAGAAAACAGGCGAGTCGAAGCGCATCTTTTCCAGAACAATTAAACGGGCTGCCTGCTGCGATGTGGTGCTTTGCATGTAAGGTCTTTCTCTACGGCCTCTTTTTGTTCCTGCTGAAAGTTTTCTGTGCAGAATCACAGCAGCAGCTCTGCTGGGTGACTTAAGGTGCTGTCGCTGCTTATTATGGACACAGAACAGGGAATATCCCCCAGGAGAGTATCGCCCACTCAAACCCAGCCATCTACAGCGAACGCATTCTGACTTCTTCTACAGCACAGCAACGCAATCTTACATTGTGGATCGTTCAAACCTCGTTTGTACGTTTTGACAATCTTTTCAGGCGCGAGCTAATATTAGGAACGGTTCAGATAAAAAGGAATAATCTATGATGCCGGGATAAAAATAGCTCAGGTTGCACTTTAGTAAAAATCTTTCATCTGAATAGTCTTGAGGCAGTTTAATGAAGTGCTCAATCCCTTTCACATTCGTGAGTAATCAGACTCAGATGTTCAGACTGCGACTCGGCGCCGAGCACATGGAAAATATTCTTCTTTTCTTGCCCTTTCCTGGACACTAAACCTTTTCTGCTGACAATGTTCACAATTATAAATTTGACATCTCTGCTTACTGTTTCTGCTGTGATCTCGGGACATAAACACTGCTCAGCAGTTCCTGTTCGAGGCGCACGGGGACCTGCTGTACTGCGTTATGTCATGCGTCTGCTTCTTCTTTGTGGAAGAACAGGAAAATTAAGCGGGCATGTGCAGAGGAGAGCAGAAATAACAGAATCGGTGTTGGAGCAACTCGGATGAACTCGTTCCTTCACGCCGTCTGCTGCTTCGAGATGTTTTACTACATGAAAGAGCTGGACGCATGACTGCAGATGATCTTCATGATGAAGAATGTTTTGTCCTCGTCCGACACTGAATCCTGGTCACCACTTGCAGACTGCGGTTCTTTACCAGGCTGATATTTAAAGCCCACTACAGGATTTCCTCCCATCGAAAAGAAAACAATACGGCGCACACCCTTCTCTGCCCACACACATCACGAGTAGGAAAGATTTTCGCAAGCAGCTTTTTATTTTTGGTCAGGTGGCTGAAGCCCGTATTTGGTATTTAAAACAAAATATCAGCACAATCAACCCGTCCAGTTATAGTTTCATCAGATAGTCGTTTCAAAGAGTACACAGTCTCCCAAACACAAACATTACCATCTATTCATCTGTTTCCTAAAGTTCAGTCGTAAGTTTTCTCCCACTTGAACTCCAACAAAGATTTTGTTTCTTAAAGCTCGACGCTGATACGAGCTTCAGAGCAGAGATAATTGTCAGTGAGTCGATCAGAAGTTTGATCTGCCTTTTTTTTTTTGATCGTTTCATCAAAGCCCAGGCTTTGTAAGAACTTATGGAGACTGGCAGCGAGTCCAAACCAACAACAAGCTGATGCAGTTTTACTGGTGTGGCATCAACAATCCACTACAAATGTTGTTTGCTGTGACCTGAAAAGAACATTTAATTTGATAAGTCGAGAACACGATGCGCAAGTACCTGTTCTGTCAAAGCTGATCAACAAACTTCAGAGAAACAGAAACCCTGAAGAACAGAGCGTTTCTGTGGTAGACGCAAGAAACACGTTAAAACACACGATCGCTTCACTAAAAACAAGTGAAATTGGTTTTTTATAGACTTTAAAGGTTTGAAGTTTTTGTGTTGACACCTTACGGTTCTTCTAAACTTTTACTGTGAAGTAGTATTTTTATTAAAGCTGTGTTAAAATACAACCCCGGGTATATACCTTTCATCATCTGGTAAGAGGCTTTCTTAAGAGTTTTATTATAAAAATTTAACACCGTCAGCAAACCCATCACACTCAGCTGAACAGAAGAAATTACTTTTGTGCTTCTGAGTGTTGAGCGACTGGAAAAAACCAGCCTGACAATGAGAGACTGACAAAGGGAGTATAGAAAGACTACAGATAAGACCAAATGCTGACAGACTCCAAAGGGAATTTGAATCCTCTAATGGATTGAAAACTACTTTTTTTTTTCTGGCTGGATGAGCAGTTATGAACTCTGTGAGGACATCATGAGACCCACGACTCTTACCGTTCTACCTACTCTGCTGGCACAAAGTAACGACTAGAATTATCCTGCACCTTACAGCAGCTTTTAGGCCTGGGCAGAAAAAAAAAAAAAAACAGCAGACAAATGTAATATGTAGTTTAGGATAAATGAAAGATGAGTAACTGTATTATTGCCTGAATTATCTTATAACTATTAGGTAATTAATGCAGACTGAAACACGTTCTCCTTTGTTACCAACTCACTGAGCAGAAGAACAAGCTGCTAGTTAAAAACACATCCCACAGATTTAATCATATCGAAGCAGCCTGACAGCAAACGACACAATTATTTAAGAACTCGAGTTGATCTTGTAATAACTAGGACTACATTATTATTATTATTATTATTATTATTAGGTTTGAACAAGATGACTACAACGTCCTCATGTATCAAAACGACTTTCGTCTAAAACGATGGCATGGAGGCGGCAGGTGAAAAAAGTTTGGCCATGGCTGCCTCAGAGGAGCCGACGGGGGAGAGGGCGGACTCCAGAAACCATCTTATCACCATCAAACTGGTTGGTCCACTATGGGAGTGCGCTACTTATGGGACTGAACTGGTTGCGGCTCCTCGGGCTGATGAAGTCCTTTGGATGAAAGATGAAACGTTTCAAACACAAAGACACCGTCCAGAGGACCTGACTTAACTTTGTTGGATTTACCTGAATTACTGAGCATGAACTTTGATGTTTGTTTTTTTTATGTTAATATAATTAGATAATAAGAATTCCTCTTAAGAGGAAGTATTGAATATAAACTAATATAAAATGTGAAGATAAAAAACAGGGCAGCACG